AAGAAGTTTGGACATGAATATCATATGAGATTTAGTCTTTTTTTTTTTTTCAATTCTAATTGCTTAGGGGATTGCCAAAACTTGCCAGTTTCCTTAACAATCAAGGTCATAGCTGAACTAAATGAACTTCAGCTGAAGAAGATGATTAAAAGTTCTTTCTTAGAGAAAAATCTGGTTGCCCTGAAGCCAGAGCTGACTTTATATAACAGAAGAACAGCTAATTGCTGAATTCTTAAGCACAACCTTATATTTCAAATATGCTCCTTAAGGAATTAGCTTTGTCTAAAATACCAGTTTCTAATGTCCTTTCTTAGAAGTAAGCATTGTGCTCCTATTCGCCTGTTGGGAGCTTTACTATTAGCACAGCCATTGATGCATTAGGTTGTGTTAATAGTAAAGCTCCCAACATTTCCCCCTTTCTTTAAAAAAAGTCAGCTATCCCAGGAAAATTTCTTGGCAGTAGGAGTACGCTGGCTTTATGACTAAATACTGTAACTTACTGACAGGAATAAAACGTTAGGATAGGAAGGAACATCAGAATATTTGGAACTGAAATGAGCAAATTCTCTGAAAACGGAGGTAATGGAATCTAAGAATACAACACAATTAAAACTTCTTAAACACAAAAAACTAATGTTTGAGAAAAACAGTGATACAATATCATTACAGATTTTTTTGTGCACATCTAAAATGCACTAAATTCTCTCTATAGCTAAACTCTTTGAGAAATGTGGGCAAGCCTCATATAGGACCATGGTATTTAGAGTGACATTTATATAGGGATGGAAGCAGCTAAAATGTTTCTTCAATTAGTTTTCAAAGATGAATATTCATTTTAAAGCAGTTGCCTTTGGAAAACATAGAACTCTTTACACAGGCTTGGAGCTGTCAAAGCACACTGATTTACTTTGAATGTGTGGTCACATTCAGTCATTACTGAGAGCTCATTTAGAATGTCTGCACACGTGCATTTCTTGTGCATGCAAATTAGTGCTTCTGTATGCAGGTAAATGTATAATTACTCCATCTGCTTGTGTTTGTTTTCTTATGATTCCCTTAAAACCAGAACCATATGCTTGCCTAACACTCATGAGTCTAAAGCTGCACAAGAAATTTTAAATGTCTGGATATCCAACCCATTCTTTGTAGAACCTATAGCAACCATTTGAGCTTCCTTACAGCTTTGACTCTTGCAGGCAGGTGGAGTGTGACCATGGAAAATCAACTCTTCAAAATCAGCAGAGCATCCAGAAGTTCTAAGTACTTAACAGAAGGATTCTTAAAATGAGTGAAGATACTTACTAGGTTTCTCATGAAATTGATTTTGCTTAGAAATTTGTTAGTGTTGATAACAATAAGGGAAAAATAGCAAGAGGTAAGAACCAAATGAAATTGAAGAAAGCGTAGGAAATGAACTGTTCTACATTTGTAAGAGAAGACAGCTTGTAGTTGTAGATTCTTATAAAACAAAATTAACCACAAAGTAAAGAGATGTAAAAGGAAGGACAGAAACAAAGTGTTAAAGATGATGAAAACTTTTTCATTTCTTTCAAACTTTGCAATGAAAATTATTTCAGATAAGACAGCATTTAATTTGGCTTCTTAAAATTTCTTATTAGGCATTTGGGGAAATATCTTAGTCAGTATAGTGCTGACCTTATGCATGAGGACCTGAGTTTAATCACCAACCAATGTTTAAAAAAAAAAAAAAAGCTGGGCTGTGTGGTGACACATGCTTGTAATCTCAGCACTTCCGGGCAGAGACAGAGCAAATCCTGGGCTCCATAGGCCAGACAGCCTAGTCTACTTGGTGAGTTCCATGAAAGTGAGAGACCCTGGATCAAAAAAAGGGTGGACAGCTTCTGAAGAATGTCACTTCATATCACTTAAGGTTGTGCACTGACCTCTGCATGCACCTGTACACACACACACACACACACACACACACACACACACACACGGAAGTTTCAACAATCCTAAATCAAGTGCTAAAGACATATAGACATGATACAATAGATAAATTGAGTAGATGTGGTCTATATTTTAATCTATTCTTTGATATTCCTAGAAATTGGAAATAAAAATCAAATGGAAACAATAATTAATATTAAGCCTTAGTCCCCAACAACATAATTCAATAGACTATTGCTAAGTTTTCAATTGATTCCTCATCAGTTAGAGCCTGTGACACTAGGAAAAGATAAGGAAGGTGATGGGACTACATTATTGAAGAACCTGGCTGTTATAAAATCTTTAAGATGTAATTTAGACAAAGATGGCATTAAATACTGTCAAGCTAAACATTCAACCAAACCCTCAAAGGCAAAAATAATTAACCTTGTATTGCACAGTCTTTTAGGTTAGTTTTGTTTTGTTTTATTTTTTTTGATCTTTTTGAGACAGGGTCTCCCTGTAGCCCCAGCTGGCCTGGAACTCACTATGTAGACCAGGCTGGCCTTGTACTCACAGAGATCTGCCTGCCTCTGCCTCCCAAGTGCTGGGATTAAAGGCATGCGCCACCATGCCTGGCCCCTGCGTTGTTTTTTAATCCATACCTTGCTGTGTCTATTCCAAGGGCTGTCATCGTCTGGAGGCCACCTCTCCGGCCTATTTTATTTGCTGCAACAAGTACCTCTTCAGTCGATGAATATTTATTGAGGTTGAACTCATGGGTTACATTTTCTCCATACTGTACAATTCCAACCTGAAATACCAAGCCACAGTCAGTTATGCATCTAGCAGAATTCCCTGCTCATTTTCCCTGAGTTTAAACATGAGATGAGATGAATACATTTTGGATATTCAGAAGTCCGAAGTTTAAAACTCTATCAGTACACAAAGTCTTCTACTTCGATAGCAGTCATTATGGCCATTCTGTGAATATGAGCAGTCCAAACATCAAAACTAAAACTGCTGTTATTAGACGTCTCTTAAGTCACTATTTTTTACCGAATGATTCCAGTAGGGTCACAGAGCACAAAACACTATATCCTAATACCTTTTTTTGTTACACTTTCTTATCTGACTAGTTCAAATTATAGTAAAAAATTATTACATTCCATAAATGAAGAAACTGAGTTTTTTAAAAAAATCATTCCTTGGCTGAGGTTATAACTCAGTGGTAGAGGACTTGCCTCACATACATGAGGCCCTGGGTTCAATTCTCAGCACTGAAGGAGAAAAACACAAAATTCATTAAGAGGTAGAAAGGAGTCTCATCTCAGACATGTCAAAACTGTGCCTCTGCTAGGATCCCTCCAGTCTTTTACCACCTTGCTCTGCCAGTGTGTATTAGTCAAAAGGAGGTGCTGAGCTACACTGGTGCTCATAGACAAACTGACAATATTGTGAAAAAGAAATAGAACGTATGAATTCTCCCTTACATTTGCTTAGTCAGTTATGGAATAAAGGAAAGAAAACTAGGGACTCCACATAATTGTGAGACGAGGCATATATTATGAGCTGAGTAGCATGTGCTCTACTCCTCTGTGTCTGGGTTAGCACTGTTCCTCCATGGACATATCTTTCACCCAATCCTTTAAAATGTGTCTCAAGATTACATATTATGAAATTTGAAAACAGATGACAAGAATTCCCTTTGTCAGTAAAGGTAGTATACAGCCAACTAGTCACACAAAGCATTAAAAAATTAATGAGGACACGCCCATGACTCCAATTTAGGTTAGTTCCTTGACTTTTAATTAAGTATTATAGCTTTTAAAAAAAAAATCCAACATACTTAAAAAAATATTTATTTTTATTTTATGTGCATGCATGTATTCCCTGCATGTAAGTAAGTGCACCCCTGTTGTGCAATGCCCGCGGAGGTCAGAAGAGGCTGTTGGGTCTCCTGGGACTGGAGTTATGGACAGTTGTTAGCTGCCATGTGGGTACTGGGATTCTAACCTGGGTCTTCTGCAAGAACAGCCAGTGTTCTTAACCACTGAGCCATCTCTCGAGCTCCAATTATTATAGCTTTTTTTTAATTGCACTTTCTCCAATAATTCTACAGCTTTACATTAGTACTTCTGGGGCCTCTGACTAATTATTAAGAGGGATTCATGAGAGCTTCACTTTTTAGCCAATACAAATATTTGATATAAATAAAATTGAAGTGATTTTGTTACTTAGATAATTATTATGCCTAATTATAAACACCAAGGTTTATAAATAATTCTGTGGAAGGTAATTGTTCATTTATTTTAGACATCTTACAGATTGTTTTCTTTTTATTTTCCCATGTTTTGTTTAATTAAACAATAGCATAAAAGGAATGTGAAAATTCTCACCTCCATTCCTATCTTGTTCTTGGAAACTTTTGCATCTACTAGTAATAATACTGACAAGCTTCTTCTCTCATTCCTTTGATCTCCTCAGCTTTGAGAATCTGTTCCTCTGCCTCATGTATTACATCTCAAGCTCTTATCCTTGACTTTTTCATCCAGAAGAGCTGTTGTCCCTTAATCCCAATTCCAAGTGTTCTCCTCCCTGACCATTAATACAGCTCATTTGTCTAGCTCGTCTAAGTCATCAATTTCTTGATCACATCAAGACCCTATGACAACTGGTAAATTTAATAATTTTATTTACTTATTAAAAATGTAGGGGCTTCTGGGAAAATGGCTCAGGAGTTAAGAGCACTGACTGATTCTGCAGAGGATCTGGATTCAGTTCCCAGCACTAACATGATGGCTAACAGCCATATGTAACTCCAGTTCCAGGTGATCTGACACCCTCTCCTGGCCTCTGTGCTGCTGGGTGCTGGGAACCAAACCCAGGTCCTCTGTAAGAGCAGCCAGTGCTCTTAAAAGCTGAACCATCTCTCCAGCCCAACTTAAACTTTTTTAAAGGCTAGATTCCATGTTATAATTACTGTAATTGTTTACTTGCAAAATTTTAACTCCCTTAACCCTGTTTTTTTCATTCATTAACTCACTTGGCTAAGTTCCAACTCTAGCTAAACCCAAGTATCTTCTTCTCTGTATGTAATTCTATAATGCTGACTGTTGCTACCGAAGTAAAACAATATATAGTGTGTTACTATATATCACAATATATCTCCCTTTCTTTAAATGAATCTCAAACTGGCTGCACATTTGAGTCTTGTCCAATGGTCACACAACTTTCTATTAATGAGCATACTTTATTCCCATTTATTGATTTCAATCAAATTGTAGCCAAAAGTGGTTAACTCCCTGAGAAGGAGTTGATTTATCTCAGCTGTATTTGAAGAACTCACACAAGAGAAGGTAGATAGGCATGGCAAAAAAACCAGACTGCTGTATACCAGGGAAGTGTTAAGTACTTTATTTTTATTTTTACAGTATACTTAACATCTCTTATAGAATCTGCTGTGAATGCTGGATCATCTGAACAAATTATCTTCACACTAAAAACTAAAAAGTTCAAAATCTCCTTAAGTCAAAGATAAGTGCTTTAGATTTCACATATTTATTACCTATGCATCTATGTACCTATGTATCTATCATCTATCTAATCTATATATCTATCATCTATCTTCCTATCATCTATAATCTATATTTTATCATCTATCTATCTATCTATCTATCATCTACCTATCATCTATCAATCATATCTATCTTCTATCAATCCTATCTACCTATCACCTATCTATCAATCATATATCATTATCTTCCTATCAATAATCTATCTTTTATTATCTATTGTCTGTCTGTCTATCATCTATCATCTACCTATTTTCTATCATTTATCTCCTAACACATGTCGCACTTCTATAAGCTTATTCCTTGTAAACACTGAAATATAAGTGAACTTAAAGCTGTCAGTTTCTTCGTATTTTCTGCATGCTTGACTTCTAATTAACTCACCTAAAGCTGTTTTCAACTGACTGCCATGGGCTCCTAAACTGTTTTGCTTTTTCAAGTTTAAAGAACCAGAACGTCCTAGAATGAAACTTATTTTGCTCTCCTTCAGCAGTGCCTAAGTGCAGAGAGCAGCAGACCAGTACCTGTCCTGAAGCTGCAGGTCCCTTTTCGAATGGAGCTGAGGCCTGCGGGTCGCCTGAAACCATACCTGCGCTTGTCTTCTGTTGCTGTTCAGTTCCCACAGTCCTTCCCTGTTTTCTACTGGAAGCGTTTCTTTAATAAGTTACTACCAAGTGATTCCTTTCTTAGACTTGGACCTCAGGCAGCTATTGTTCTTTTTTGTTTGTTTATTTCACAGGCCAGAGCAGACATCAGGGCCTTGAACTTGTCCACAGAAGTGGTTGTTATCACTATGCTCACTCTCCTCGAGTCCGTTATGTATCATTGAGCTATTAACTGAAATAATGCATCCATAATATCAATTCCCTGTCCAAAACCTCCAACCATTCTCTGTTGCTGACATCAGTGAGACTTTGAAAAAAGTAGTTTAATATGGCATATTTTATTTTTATTAAAAATGAAGAGACAAAGTTTCCTTTAAAAATTAAGAAGTTAAAATCTAGTCCCCCTCCCCCAGCACCAACAGTCTGTCTGTACCTTCTCTATTCATCTCATCTCCGTCCTGTCCAGTGTGAAGCCTTCCCAGTGTTCTCCCATGTCCCTCTGTTCATTCTGTAAGATTCAATTCTACTTTCCTGGCAAAACTTTCCCCACTTAGCTATCAACATAACCCATTCTGACATTGACCGTCCCCATCTCAGAACACGCAGGCGACCTTGTGAATTCTCAGCTATGCATGTGCATGCTTTATCTCCACAATTGCTCTGTAAGTTCGAAGGGGCTGACAGGGTAGAAGGCATGGACTGTGTCATGGCTTCTGATAGCCTTATCCCTTCCTGCCACTTTGCTCACAGTTGACCCCATAAGTTCCTAATAGATGACTGGAACATTTCACAGAAACAAGTGGAAAGCTGAGATAATAGAGACATAATGATAAACAGAAAAAGAGAGATAGCCAGAAGTGCTTGAAAGGAGAAGAGGAGGTAGTGGGGATTCAAATCTCGGGGAGGTGACATTCGTGCAGCTTGCTGGGTGAAAATGGCTGTTTATTTCCTTAGAAGCTAGAAAGAATTAAGTCCACTGTGAGCCTTACCAAGAAAGGAGACCATTTATTTTTATTATGGGAAAGGGTCAAATAAAAATACACATATGTAATGATATCTTCAATACTGATGAGACCCAATTCAATACAGTTCAAGATTGGCTCCTAATTAAAGCAGATGAAAGATTCACATAAGCATGATACACATGAACTGGCAGCTGAGTTAAATATGTATGGAAATTAAAATATAAAACGAGTCAAGCAATGAAGATATGTTGGGAGCGATCAAGAGGAGAGAGAATAGTACAACTTCACTGCTTCACATCAAAAAGCCTCGCAGAGGAAGGAGCATCCAGTCAGGTAAAGAGCAGACAACAGATTGGAAAAATCCTATGGAAAGGAACAAAATGGTCTTGATCCTGGAGCAGATGTCAGGATGGTAATGAAAGGAAGCCACTTAGAAATTGAGAGAATGAAAAACAACCAATGATATATTTGACCTGAAGTGTTCAGTGGCATTGGAATGCACAGAAATCAGAGGGTAGAATTTAAGTAGAGAGTTGTGATGCGCATAGGGAGATTCTAGGCCTTTTTTGCTAAGTGAAAAAAGGAAGCAAAATTGACAGCTGAAAGAAACAGCAAGGCTCAACGTGGACATTCCTGCATGAACAACGACAGGAGAATACGCATCGGCAA